GTATATGTATATACATATATATAATTCATTAAGTTTTTAAATTAATATATTAATACACTCACCAAGTTTTTATATTTATCTTCTTTCATTATTTTCACTAAGTGCTGCATTCGGGCATCATTGTCAGATTCTACAGAGGGGGCTTTTGTGAGAGTCTCTGGAGGTGAATCCTTGTATATCGGATTGTCCTTCTCTTCCTGTAGGTACGGGTGCCATCTATGGAATGAGTCATTTCGTTCGCCTTCAAATGGATCCGAGAGAAAACTTTGACCAGTAAGAACCACACTTGGATTTTGATTTTTTGAGCGCTCTCTACAGATGTACCAGCAACAAAAGAGAAGGATAATCAGGGATATAGCTGCACAAAAGTAAATAATGATGACATTATCAGTAATCCAATTTTTCTTGATTTCACAACGATCTCCACTGTAACCATCCAAACAACTGAAAAACAAAGTAGTATTATTTAATTATCAATGATGATCAGATAATAACGGTTTGAATAAGCATGATGATTATGATTGTGATGGAGGGTTAAGAAACCATCAAACAGAAAACATGATAGAACTGTGATGATGATGATGATGATGATAATGAGACATATGGAATAATTATAATTTTTATGATGAAGCTTAAACTTATAATGAGGAGGATGTTATGAAGATCTGGGACGGATGCAGGATTTGGCTATAGGGGGTGCGTGAGAGTCATGGGCGTCGGTCGGTGGGGACAGGGGGACACGTCCCCCATTTTTCAAAGTAGGGTGGACACACTTGTCACAATTGACATCTATTTTAGTTTATAAGTAAGTATTTTCTTTGAACCACTAACCTTACTTTTACACACAGCAGCTAGTCTTTAGTCAAATATGGTAATGAGGTAAGTATTCTTTGAGAAACTTGGTGTGTGATTTACTGATTGGCTGAATGAGAAATGAATTTAAGTGAGGTAATGCAAATGAGTGCAGAGATGCAAATGAGTTTAGGTTAGTGGTGTGAAGCACTGATTGGATGGGAGTGCATGAATAGTAATGAGATATGAATTTTTGGTGGGGTGTTGGTTAGAACTGGATGAAGGGGGTTTGGAGAATGGCTTGTGAGATAGCAGGGAAAGGACATGTTAGTCCAGAGTGAATATATGTTGTATTACAGACAAGAATATCAGGTTCCATGCCTACGTTATACCAGCCTACAGACATTGCGGGTGTGAACAATTTGTTTGCCTGTTATTTTATAATAAAAATGGTAGGCCTGAATGTATGCCAATGATCGTCCAGTGAACGGCTGTGATGTAATCAATATTGCATTATCTGGATGGAAACCTTTTTACAAGTACCTGTTATTTATATTTTTTGTGGAGCTAATAAGCTCGGATACCAGGGAGAAATCAATCCTGAGTTAAAGTGAACATCACTATAATTCAAAATTAGTGAATTTTGTGGAGCTAATAAGCTCAGATTGCAGGGAGGAACCCTGATTTATGCTGAACGTTATTAAAGGTAACTATAATCCAGAATTAGTAAATTTATGGAGCTAATAAGCTCGGATGCCAGAAAATAATTTGGATTGAAGGCCACTCTAATGCAGAATTTGTGAATTGGTGTTTGAATCTATTCGATTTTACTGAGCCAGGAAGAGCCTGTGAATGGCATTAAAGACGTGAACTGTGGGGGGATTGCGATTGTTTCTTTGGGCAGGGTGTCTGAAAGTGGACAGTTGAACTTTATATAATTTTTGCTTTTGGTCAATTACAAAATTTATTATAATTCTGTAATCAATTTTCCATGCTTTATTCACATTAATTTTTGGAATGTTAAAATAATATAATGATTCAATGATGGTTACATTGTTGAAATTGCTGTTAATATTGTGAAGTTATCGTTACTGTATTATATTGAAATTTGAGAAGATAAATGTAAAGTAAATCATGACATTAAATATGTACCATTGACAGTAACTTTCATTGTGATATACAGTACAATATTATTAACTGATGTTAATTGAGGATTACCAATAAGCCTAGTTTATTGTTTTTTTTAAATTATATATTCTTACCATTAACAGTGAATCTCGAGAGATAATATTTTATTGTTCAGTGTTAAACACTCACCTGAATATAATTGGTGTTTTGATAACTGAGAACGTTTTCCTTTGGTTTAAACGTTTTATATAATGGGAAAATTCATTTACTATATCATATTAAATAAGTTTATTTAAACTTTTTGTAAGACAGTGTCAGTTCGGTTTATTTATCGTCCTGAGGTTGTATTTGTTCAGACAAATTACAATGTCCGTATGAGCCTATATTAGGCTGTGTGACAACACTTTTTCATCAATCTTCTATAGTTAAAACCCCACTTTTCAAAGCGAGTGGAAAGAACAACAATTACGAATGACTGTCATGAATTCTGTCTGTTCACTTGTAGTCTGTTCCAGGTGCGGTGTGTATTTTCGGACTAAAACCGAATTGTTTGTACATTTTCGTAGCCATTCCAGTAACCACTCCATCGATTGTCAAGGGTGCAACGGTTATCAGAGGCTAAAGTTATAGTGAAAACAGTGTACTGTACGTTGTTAAAATTTTAAGGTGTAAACCTATTACGCCAACTTTTTTACAAACTCAAAAGTGCACAAATTTCTACTAAGCTATAAACGATTTATTCCGCATACATAGATTCAAGATTTTCACAATTTCAAAAAATTATAGTCGATTGAACTTTATATAGCTGTTATTAAACAATAATTATACAGCCTTTTGACACGAATAGGTATCTATTTCGACTTATTTTAAAGTAGTGATACCACAAGTTTACGAACTCCGATGTTACTTTGACGCAATCTCGCCATGACGTCATGATAATGATGAATTAAGTAAATCACCTTTATGTTTGTGAAATAAAAATGTTAACTTATGTTTTGTGTGCTTCGTATCTCCAGGGAGCAGTTTCACTGTTCCCTGGTATCCCCAGTCCTTTTTATGATGAGTATTCCAGTGGCAGATTCAAGAGGGCTCTGCCGGCCCATCCTCCCTCCCTAAATTTTTCAAAATTCCTTTTTCTGCTATTCGCCCATCCCCAAATTTTCAAGCACGGATCGAACACCCTTGGTGAGTGTCCACACCCCCTCAGCCCCAACATTTTGAGAATATGGACCTCAAGGTCCCGGGAAATTGCACTCTCATACTTTAAAATTCTCACGATAATGTTCATAATGATAAAAATAATATTTCAACAATACAATACAACCACTATTTTCCTTAATACAATTTATCGGGGTGCGATCGCAACGTATGCACCCCTTCTGCATCCGCCCCAGAAGATGCGGATGATATTGACGAAACTTGGATAATTCATATATCTGCGTAATGTATTACGCCCAATATAATATCTAAGTAATGGTGACGTGAACAGAAAGAACGTGATGAAGTTTTGAGAATCATGAAGATGATGACAATGAGGATACTTGTATTAAAATAGTGATACAGATTATGATAATGTTGTACTAGGCAAATGTCAGATTCCCCTTCTGTTATGTAGTAAACTTTCAGAACCTTACCTGCAGGCAACTGAATCGGGTGTTCCACGGTGAGTACAGTTTCCACCATTTTCGCAATTGCATACCACTAAAAGAATAAAAAACAAAACATTAAACCAGAAATATGAAAGAATAACTAAATTGTACAATGCAGTGATGGCGCCAGAGTCTGCCCGACACATTTTTGTGTATTAATATTTAGATTCCATATTTTCGTAGGGGGAAATAGCTTGAATGTACCCACTAAAGTTGAGGGCCTCACACATTCTAGAGGAATACATGACCAGTTTAATAGATTTCTGAGGAGCAAATCTGACAAAAATAATGCTGTAATACTAAAATATAAAACATGGAAAAAAGACCAACCAATTTGTACTTACCTATTTACCTATTTATGCCCAAGTCCTATCCATATTAATGTTATTGAGATTTAACCACAGTAATTATTGATCTTTTTTCACCCACTCAACTAACATTCAAACACAATGCTCCATTACCCCATGAAATTCCCGCACTGAATGTAGTCTGACTTCATGCAACTTCTGTCGGCTTTTGATCTACATTTAGGTTTGAGAGGTTTGGGTTTCATCATATTCATGGTCTTGTATTATTTAATTATTGCCTTACCCGTGCACTCTCTGCCAGGACCATAGTCGGATCTAGATTCATCTTCGTAACCACCACGACACTCACAAGTAAAGCTACCCAAATTTTCAATACAGATAGCGTTCGCAGAACAATCATTTTTATCAACGCTACTGCATTCTTCAACATCTAAAAATTGATATAGATTATAAAGTATACTTATAAAAATATGAACCTTTAAAAATGAGTAAGTTTATCTGCTTTGAAAGTGAAATATTGTGAACAACAATGGTATTAGGTATCTTATAATTTATGATATATTGGCTTACTGGTTCACCTTTTCTCTTATATGTTTTGAGAATTGCTGATTTTTTTTGTAATGTTTTACATTATTTGTATTTGCCAGAATGAATAAAATAAAAATAAAATAAAATAATCATCTAATAAGTTATTATCTAATAATTATTATGGTCTAATATTGAAGGTACATAAAGCACATTACTAAACAAAAACAAAAAATGCAATATATATTTACAGAAGAAAATTGAAACATTCCGTGCTATACAGAAAACAAACATTTACTATAATAATATTACATATTTTCTAATATCATTAAAATAAAAATTAATAGTTTGTGCTCATTGAAATCATTTAAATATTTATAAATATTACTTTTACAATATTAGCATTTTTTATATAATTATTGCTATTATCATTATCATCATCTTCATTATTTTTTATATTAACCATTGTCCAGAGATAGCATTGTCATCATTGACAACAATCGACGCTGTATGACAAACTTGACAGAGTAAAAATGTTGACAGTCAGTGAAGAGACGATGGACCATGAACTATCACATTATTTTCTCAATAACTTATATCATTATATAATATTTTTATTTATAACATTATATTATGTTAACGAGTCACGGTGTTGCATTTTTACGTTTACCTGAATACTGGATGGAATCTGTATCTACATTAAAGTCAGTCTGGGATGATAAGCCTTCTTCTAATGTTGTTTTCAGGGTCTCTTCGGACAGCTTACTATCAGCTCCGAATATCAATTTGTAATTTACAATAATGCTGCCGTTAATGAAGCCAACAATCTCAACACGGATGAAGTCTGAGTCCGATTCATATATGGTTGTCAACTGTGAAAACAGATAAGAGAGAAGGTGGAAAGATAATTTTTAAAGGTAGATCCAATCCAATCTTCGACTTATAGGCTAAAGGCCAACTCAGACAGCGTCGGCCGTCTTAAGCCGTCGTGAGAAATATTAAACATGTTTAATATTCTACGACGCGACTGCCACCGGCGCACACCATCGCGTCGACGCGACAACAAATCGCGTCGGGCTGCGTCGGAAGACGCTGTCTGAATTGGCTTTAAGGCGCATTACAAGTCTCAATGCGTCAATTTGAGGGAGTGCTCAGGAAAAAGGGAACAAAGGGAGAAAATGATATACAAGGGAGAAACCAGAAAAACAGAGAACAGAGGGGAAAAACGGAAAACAAAAACAGAAGAAAAAGACAGAAAGAAAATATTAAATGGAGGTGAAAGGGTGAATTAAAATTCTCATTTTGAAAATATCGACTGATGGAGATTCACGAATACATTGTGGCAAATCATTCCAATTATTCTGATCGGCTTGGTAATGCTTGATTGATTGGTTCATTCATTGATTACACGATGGACTGACTGATCGCTACTGACTGAATAATTGATTGAAATGTAGTTACTGTAGATCAAGTAAAACTATTCTTACCAGTTTATTGAACATATCATATATTTCCTTATACGAGTCACTTTCAGGATTTTCAACGAATTTGTAGCTTAGAAGTGAGCCATTTTTCCAATTTGTGGCTCGAAACGATCCCTTCCAGTAATCGGCACCTGTGTGTGAATTATCACATCGATAATTTAGTGTCGTAATTTAAAAAAAAGAAGCGCTTTTTTTTAAAAAAAGATTCATGCTATTAAACATCAATCAATGCTATATAAACGAGGTGGCCTAACAGACTAACTAGGTCGAAAGTGCTATGACCACTTATTTATCGTTGTATCATACATACAACAGCATTTAGTTGTTAATCAACTAAACGAAATAGGGTATGTGTTAATTAGATAATATTGTAAGATTCCAATGTTTATGTACTATACGTTGCACATAGGATACCACCTGTCTCTTATACACATCTAGATGTGTATAAGAGACAGGCATTCTTCAACATCTAAAAATTGATATAGATTATAAAGTATACTTATAAAAATATGAACCTTTAAAAATGAGTAAGTTTATCTGCTTTGAAAGTGAAATATTGTGAACAACAATGGTATTAGGTATCTTATAATTTATGATATATTGGCTTACTGGTTCACCTTTTCTCTTATATGTCAATAAAGAGAAACTTGAACTTGAATGAAATGTTTTATATGTTGTACAACTGATTTTTTTAAGAAACAAAAACCATATTTGACGAAAAACTTAAGAACAGTTAATGAGATACAGATTTTGAATATTTAAAAAACTGTGGAGGGGGGATGTGGAAAAAGGGTGGTTATACAACATATCAAAACATTTTTCCCCCGGAGCCTGGCTTTAACTTATTGATTGGTTTATTTTCTACATTTTTATTATTGTATATGTAGGCATTCCATTGTATATTTAGCCATTTTAACGATATTGGCGTACCATCTGCACGGTAACATAGGGAAACAGTTAAAACATTAAATACAAAATAGCTTATTAAAAACCAAATAATGTATCAACTTTCAATAAGACACAAATTGAAAAATGTCATTTATGTTTGATTTTTGAAACCTTTTAGTACAAACGTTCTGAAGTTGATCGGTATTATTGTTACAATCATGATATAAAGGTTACAAATTCTGTTTGTTTTTAAATAGAGTTCGTACAGTGGTGACGCCAGAGTTTGCATATTGTGGGCGCCAATTTAGAACCCCTCGATTTTGCAATTTCGCTATTTGTAAAAAAAAAAATACATTTTTTCATCTCCGACAAATTATGTTCGGCTCACTGACGGGGAACCTGACAGGCGCCACCACTGGTTTGTAAAACTCCATTGCTACTGTTGCTCTAACTACATATTTTAGTCTTACGGATGCAATTACTGTTCTGTTGCTCCCAACCTGCTCTACAAGTGCATTGGTACGAGCCTGGAAGGTTCTTGCAAAGTTCTCCGTCACCGGTACATACATTACTTGTACATTCATTGAAATCTGGAAAGAAAGAAAAAAAAAACCCTTCAAATTATTTTATGCAGATTTATTCATATAGGCCTACAAAGTTTATAGATATGCCTAAGTCATGTTACTTTGGTTTCAGTAAATAGCCCGCACACATTGAAGTAGGTGGCTTAAGTCATTTTTTTTATGGGTGATTCTCAAATGATCTGTAAAATATAATATTAGAGAAAAATAGAAGGACAAAATAAAAAAAAAAAGTGAATGCCTTTTAATAATGTGTTTTTTCTCTTTTCTCTGTTGTTTATTACACTATTTGTTCAATTAGGTGTGTATTATTTCTCAAGTTAGGTGGTCAACATTCTGTAGACTTAACTTTACGTGATTATAATAGGCCTGTAAAAAAATTAGAAAATATAATGACGTCACTTACCTTCACATACGTCATTTTGTTTGCTGTCTAAAATGTAGCCATCATTGCATACACATATTTGCACCTCATCCTGCCACTTGCACCTTCCATTTATGCAAGTCTTGCTGCAGAGTACCTCTTTTGGTTGTTCTTGAGTTGTCTGATAAGTGGATAACCTGTTGTGCTGCAATGTCATTGTTGTAAAGACTGTTTGATCACCATTAGGCTTGATAGAAGACAGATGTATTGAACTCATACTAGTGTCAAAAGACTGTTCTGTTGGGCTATATGTGTAATCGGTCCGAGTAATCTCTTGAATAGTTGGGTTTTGTGACGTCGCTTCAATTTCATCTGTTTGTTTAGTATCCATCGATACCCAAGTAAAAACATCAGGTATTTCTGAAGTAACATCCGATGTCATTACATTTATGTTTGTAACTGTATATTCTTGAAAAGGCATTGATGTGTGCTCCCAAGTTGACAGAGGAATTGTCGTAGCGTCGCGTTCGTGTTCAGATGTATACTTTGCTTTTGTTGTAGGAATTGATGATTTATTTGCCACAAGAAGGGTGGTTTCAACGGTAGAACCTTTGGATATTGATGTTAATATTGATGGCGGAATCATTGTACTATCTACATTATTCTCACCAGTGATCATAGTGGTTTCTTTCTGCTGATATTCTGTTGACAAAACTACTGAAAAATCCGGTGTTGTTGTAGTTATTGTTGATGAGTCAGTGGGTGTAATATCTATTATAGCAGTTACTCTTTCTGTTGAACCATTGGGTGTGGTTTTATGGGACAAACTTATTTCCGTAGTAGGGTTTCGTGTTGACTTTAACTCATCAATAAAAGTAGTTTCCTCATTATTGCTTTCGTTTTTCTGCTTTGTTACATTTTCAAAAGCTGTTGGTATTAGAAATGATGCTGTTGACAAAATAATATTGTTTCCTGTTGATGTATTCTCGGTTGTAATGTGTGTTTGAGTTTCATTTTCCGTTACTAGTAATTCCTGGGATGTAATTAATGTTGATATGATGGGGCTTTCTGTAGATAATGCTTCTAATGCTAAAGTGTATGCTTTGGATTGACTTATGTCTGATTCTTTAGTAGATAATGAATTCGTTTCTTGTGATAAAGTAGTTTTTGTTTGGCTGTTATTTGTCTCCTCAATTACTGTTGACAAAACCGTGTTTCCTGTAGACATGTTCTCTGTTGTAATGTGTGTTTGAGTTTCATTTTCCGTTACTAATAATTCCTGGGATGTCATTAATGTTGATATGATGGAGCTTTCTGTAGATGATGTTTCTGATGCTAATTTATCTGATTTGCTTTGACTTATGTTTGACCCTGTAGTAGATAATGAATTCGTTTCAAATACTGCAGTAGTTCCTAATGTTTGGCTTTTATTTGTCTCCTCGATTACTGTTGACAAAACCGTGTTTCCTGTAGACATGTTCTCTGTTGTAATGTGTATTTGAGTTTCATTTTCCGTTACTAATAATTCCTGGGATGTCATTAATGTTGATATGATGGAGCTTTCTGTAGATGATGTCTCTGATGCTGACTTATCTGATTTCCTTTGACTTATGTTTGACTCTGTAGTAGATAATGCATTCGTTTCTAATGCTACAGTAGTTCCTATTGTTTGGCTGTTATCTGTCTCCTCAATTACTGTTGACAAAACCGTGTTTCCAGTAGATGTGTTCTCTGTTGTAATGTGTATTTGAGTTCCATTTTCCGTTACCAATAATTCCTGGGATGTCATTAATGTTGATATGATGGAGCTTTCTGTAGATGCAGCTTCTGACGCTAGAGTGTTTGCTTTGGATTGACTTATGTCTGACTCTGTAGTAGATAATGCATTCGTTTCTAATATTGCAGTAGTTCCTAATGTTTGGCTTTTATCTGTCTCCTCGATTACTGTTGACAAAACCGTGTTTCCTGTAGACATGTTTTCTGTTGTAATGTGTATTTGAGTTTCATTTTCCGTTACTAATAATTCCTGGGATGTCATTAATGTTGATATGATGGAGCTTTCTGTAGATGATGTCTCTGATGCTAATTTATCTGATTTGCTTTGACTTATGTTTGACTCTGTAGTAGATAATGCATTCGTTTGTAATGCTGCAGTAGTTCCTATTGTTTGGCTGTTATCTGTCTCCTCAATTACTGTTGACAAAACCGTGTTTCCTGTAGACATGTTCTCTGTTGCAATGTGTATTTGAGTTTCATTTTCCGTTACCAATAATTCCTGGGATGTCATTAATGTTGATATGATGGAGCTTTCTGTAGATGCTGTTTCTGACGCTAGAGTGTTTGCTTTGGATTGACTTATGTCTGACTCTGTAGTAGGCAATGAATTCGTTTCTACTGCTAAAGTAGTTCTTGTTTGGCTGGTATCTGTCTCCTCAATTACTGTTGACAAAACCGTGTATCCTGTAGATGTGTTCTCTGTTGTAATGTGCATTCGAGTTTCATTTTCTGTTACTAATAAATCCTGGGATGTCATTAATGTTGATATGATGGAGCTTTCTGTAGATGATGTTTCTGATGCTAATTTATCTGATTTGCTTTGACCTATGTTTGACCCTGTAGTAGATAATGCATTCGTTTCTAATGTTGCAGTAGTTCCTATTGTTTGGCGGCTATCTGTCCCCTCAATTACTGTTGACAAAACCGTGTTTCCTGTAGACATGTTCACAGTCGTAATGTGTGTTTGAGTTTCATTTTCCTTGGTTTGGTTTAATTTAGACTTTCCAGTTACCGACGGGTTTTGGGATATATTTGCGAGAGATGATATTGAAGACCCAATTGAGTTTTCTTTAGATGTACTTTCTACTACAATATTGGTTCTTTCAGAATTGTATTCTTGTGTCTGCACATTTGACCTAAAGTTATTAGAAGTGGTTGCTAGAGTTGTTACAATTGAGTTTGTGTAGTGTTCTGTAGGCGCGCTATCTGCAGTGGTTTCTTCAGTTTGACTTGTAACCACTGACTTAAAAGTATCACCATTGTCCGATGTTATTACATTTTTCGACGTGACAGTTTTGCTGACTGTTTCTGAAATTAAGATGATAATAATAAGAAAGTGTATAAGATAATTCATCTATATCAGATAGGTATACTTTGTTTATTGCGATGATATATCGAGTCAAGCACTCCATTTGTTGCCATTCACCAATACGATACGATACGATTTATTAGGTTCACTTTCAAGTCAGCGGCACCCATTACTTACACTTTGATGTACCCAAGAACAATATAAAATATAAAAAAGAAAGCAAAAATAGTTAAAAAAACAACTTAAACTAAAAAATGGTTTTAACAATATGATATAAAAAAAACCCTTTTTCTGCATATCTCAATTATAAATTAACAATAATAATAATAACAAGAGCAATCAGCCAAGAGCATATCTCCGCCACCGCAAATCCCTTTCTATAAAATAAATCTCCCAAAATAAGTTCCTAAATTACTTCAACCACCACCCAACTCATTTAGCTCCCCTCCCCTTCAAAAACACACAGTAACTCGCCCAAACACTTTTTAATTCAAAGAGGGGCACTATTTCCAGCAATTTTATTGCCCTCACATCAACAGGCCAGGACAGATCCAATATCAATCCGGTCGGTCTTTTGTAAGAAAACGTTACAGGTTGTTGTCACTGATCTCTACTATAATAGCTGGATTGGCTGGTTTTAGTGAGGCCACCGACGCCATGTTGGGGAGCTACAGTGACGTACCAGTTTAGACAAGTTCCTTTTGGCATTTTTTAAATTTAATTTATTGTTAAAAATTAAGATTCTTTAAATACTTTTTAATAATAAATTTAAATTTAACGTAATGATTATTTTTCAAATAATCTAACCACTCAATGCGACTCTTTATGCAGTTTAAAAAAGCGCAAGCGAAGTTTATTTATTTTTTGAAATTTATTGAACACATTTACACAGCATAACATACCAGGAAGTTGTAAATTGCCTGTTTTATATAGGTCCTGTTTTGTGATAAAAATTACAATATAAAAATCAACAAATTGATTATTAATAAAATTAAAAATAGACTTAATTATAAATATGAATAAAAATAATCTAAAACACAGAATTTATACGATTTTGTTAACATACATCGAAAAAGTTTAAATCACAAGGTTAGGTAATGAAAAGAAAGATAAAAGTTAATTGTTTTGTTAGTGATCGACGTCACTATAACAGCGCGCCTTCGCTCACGCTTTTGTAAACAGTCGCGTCGAGTGGTTAAAGGTTTTAAAAAAATCATTCGTTAAATGAATTCTTAACCTGATACTCGAGCCCGTTCATAGTGGCTTCCCTTTCGCCTGAAGACATCTAGTTATTAACATGACACACTTTCTTTGCTGGAAGGTACTGAATAAACGAAGTCATATTACGATCTCGTACAAATGTCATTAAAACGTGGAACCAAGGCAATTTTGAAAGGATAGACAAAAGAACAACTGTCGATTTTGCCTTTAAAAACTGTCAAACGTAGGTGTATCTGAATCATACTGAATAAAGCTAAATACTAACAAAGCTGAAGTCAATGTAGACTAAATGAAACTTCAAATTATTTCTCCGTTGTAATTTGTTTCATCATCCTCATTATCATCACATCATCGACGTCATCCTCGTCTTTATCATCATCATCATCTTTACCAACATCGTCAACATTATCATTATCATATTATTATCATCATCAACGTCATCATTATTATCTGCCATGCTATATTGATGTTGCTGTTGTTGTTCTTGTCTTCTCCTCGACCTTTCCCTCATCATCACCATCCTCCTTCTCTTCCTCCTCCTCCTCCTGCCCCTCCTCCTTCTTTCGTCTTCTTCTCGAGTCTTCTTTTTCTTGCTCTTCTTCGAAACTATTGTCTAACAAAATAAACCCAAGATACAGTACTAACATTTGAAGTCGAGTACAATCCTATACCAATTATGTGACCTCAGACAAGATATGCTTACAAAACTTGCTTTTATTGGTAGTCTGTAAAATGTCTGCAATTCGGTCGTTTCGGACTGTTCTTGTGAACAAGTTGACACTAAAAACAGAGACTCCTTTGTTTCATTACATTCGGCTTATAAGCAACAGTGGCCACCAGGGAAGCATAAACGGCAACAATGATAAACCGTATGTAGACGAGTATCCGTCGTGTACGTACAGATGTAGGTATAAGACCTACATACTTAAAATCTATGCATAGAAGTTGCGCTCAGGTGGAAAAAAATTTCAGATTTTTTAAAAGTCTTCCTAGCCATTGTCAAAACCTTAGAATAAATAGGCCTATTTGTGTATCTGGAAAACTCCAATCAATGATAGCTATAGCACAAACATAATACAAACACGCCTAAGTTATAATTAACCTTCAAGAGACAGATACACTGTAGGCCTAATTCAGTTTTGCAGATTTACAAAACTAATTTTAAGCCCTGTGTGTCTGTCTGTCTGTCTGTCTGTCTGTCTGTCTGTCTGTGTGTCCAGAATGTTTTTGAGAAATGTGACATGCTTAAATATGGTCATGATGACATCACATCATTACCATATATAGGCACATCATTACTATATGTGCATACTACAGTTTTTGTCAAGGAAAATGTTATAAGCTGGACAGAGCTTTATGGTGTACGCAAAAATTATGAATAATATATGCGTCTGTTGATTAGCAAGAAACAAATTTTACACTTTATCTTTACATTGGCAGCCAATAACTTACCTAAATACATAAAAGTAAGCAATAAATCTACAGTAACTATTGAATGCCGTTTAAATATTAGCTGTGCACAGACAGAGGTTTGTCACATCTATACCTCCATGGTCACAAGAGGCACTCACTAGACGAGAAACAGAAATGAGATTACCGGATTGGGTGGAAATTGTCATTTTATTCAATGACGAAAAAAAAAAACAACCCCCCAATGAAGGCCTAATACACAGTTAACTCGAATTGTAGTAATGGGCCAACCACCCATCAACATTGGTTACATTAGCTAAAATACATTTTTATGGAATGGGGACATAAGGCTGCCCCTAACATAATTCAAAAGTAGGAGGCCTATATATTTCAGAATTTACATTCAGTACACACATGAACACCTCAATACACAGATTATTTATATGGTTATTAATGAAAATCATGTAATTATCAACAATTGTATAACAATACTAGCGCTTTTTTTTTGTAATAATGTTAATTGCGATTAAAAACTCGAAAAAGCCATACATGTTTCAATTTGTGCATAGGCCTACGAATAAAATATAAATGTACTGTACACGATAACGTATCCACAGCCAAAATACTAATAGTTAAAACAAAGCATCCCAAATAAATTTTTATATAATGCTATAAAAATAAATTCAAAAGATAACTTCTGTGTTAGAAACACAAACAGTGTTTCTAAATGTGTATCACAGAGGCACAAGCCATCAATAAACGAATAAGGATCTATTATTATACTCAACTACATGGTAATAACATGTTGTTCCGAATTATTTTGCCTAAGTTCATAAGGTCGAGGATAAAGGTTTAGAACATACAATGCCAATGCGTCATAAATACTGTGTTAATTCAAACCAGTAGGCCTATATAAGACATCATTATATACATATAAATATAATAATAATAATAATAATAATAATAATAATAATAATAATAATAATAATAATTTCATTTCATTTCGTTTATTCGACCAACATTTACAATTACAGTGACTATAAGATACAATATGTGAGAAAAACAAAAATTGGAATGCTAGACAGCGGTAGCGTAAGCAAAGTATATTGCTATAACTCTGATGAGCCAGCTACCCCTTAAAAATAATAAATATAACAATTAAATATAACAATGGACAATAAACAATTTAATGATATAAAAATGATGATGATATTAATGATAATAATTATCATTCATAATATTAATAATAATGAAAATATACAGTGCTCAATTGCACTTCAGAAAATAGGATCTACTAAAAATAAAATACGGGATTAAACAATAAGTTTGATCAGACATTCTAATACAAATAGTTTCATGACAAGATGTGCCACTCTTCAGCATATTTCATACATAGTTTTCGGTGTATTGCCCAATTTCACAGGCAGTAAGACCCCACTAAAAACAAGTCTTCGACTTATTGCGTAATACGTTTGGTATAAAATATTCCTATCCTCTCACTATCTCATCATCACCGTCATCATCATTTATCACCAGTAGGACCCCACTAAAAACAAGTTTTCGACTTATGGCGTTATCTTTGGTGTAACACCGTCATCATCATCCATTATCATAATTATCGTCATCCATGTGGAGTAATATTATCATCACAATCATCAACGGGAGGCGCTATATAAATCCAGAATTATTATTATTATTATCATCATCATCATCATCATCATCCCTATCATTTTCATCATAATCACCACCATCATCATCTTCATCAGGCCTGTTGACATTGCCTTTGCTACTCTGAACAGTAGAAATTAACCTCGAACGTGCTCACGCGGAGATGTTTCCCCACGTAGCCGTTTTATCACAGGGGCATGGCCGTATGCATTAAGTGAGATGGTGTTTATCATCATGTTGCTATGGTAACTCATCGTAGTCTAAAAGTCACTTGGCAAGGGGGCATACTGTCGGTATCTGTTGTCAACAAAAAGCATTCGTTATTTTCGACTGTAGTGTAACTACGATTAAAATGCAGTACAACAATGGACGACACGTATATAAGTATATCGATACGTCATTATTAAAATGGCAACGTCCGTCTCATAAAATTTAATAAACTAAGAAAATTCGTAGAAGTGCCATTTTACTATTTTTCAGCCAACCTACCGATCAACTGAAAACCAATTTAAACAAAGAGAAAAATCAACCAGCCAAACTATAATAAAACCTACAGTACCAACCAACCACCCAACCAAACAACTTACAAACCAAGCCTCCAATCAACCAACCTACGAAACCTACCAACCAACCAACCTATTAAACCACCAACCATACCAACCAACCGTTCTTTATTTTGTTTTTTGTTTTAGGATACCATTTTCAAAATACAACATACACAAGACCTTGAAACGAAATACATTTTAAGGCCCTGACTATTCACAAACATTGGATTATTATAACTTGACGAAAACAAAATCAGAATAATGTACAGGTACCGGAATGTCAAGATTTATAAAAGCTTCAAGTAAAATTATATGTTGTTTAAAATGAATTTTGATTTTTCAACTAATCTATCAATCAATCGATCAGTCAGTCAGTCAGTCAGTCAGTCAGTCAGTCAGTCAATGAATGAATGAATGAATGATTAAATGAATGAATGAATGAATTACAACCTAGTACAGTAATAACGTTACAAAAAGTGTTGGCGTCCATTTGCTTTAGTACGGTAGGATACGTAACGTAACTTTTATCACATTAACTTTATGTGGCCTGCAAAAATATAACTCTTTGTTTATATCATTCCATGTAGCGCGAAGCTATAATATGACAGGTTTAAAGTGAATGCAATTAATGCATGTGCCTCTAGTCAGTGTCTACACAACATAATATAATATGAAGGATCGGATCGAGACCAAATGCAGCAACAATAACAAAATATTACTGTCATGGAGGTAATATGCCATGGTCCTCCAATAATGTGTCGGTATATCAAAAATGTCACTGGATTTGTGACTTTAAGCTTCTTATATGCACTTGGGATTTTTTTTTCTTTTTGGCGATAACTGCCAACTTTATTTTAATTCTTATTATACCGTATATTATGATTAGATGGAGACCTAAATAATTACAATCTAGTATATTCAAAAGTTTCGATATTATTCACCACCATGCAAATTGCGATGAAAATGATCAGTGATTGTTACTTTGTTCGACTATGAGTGTACCGTAATACAGGGGACATATTGTTGAACGGAAAGTTTACTTACCAGACAAAACAGGGGGAACATTGTTAACGGAACCCATACTTACCAGCCGTTGCCAGTCCGTTGATGAGTTGAAAGCTATACACAGTGAATATAATTCCAATAAACATAGTTAATTCCATAATAAAAAAATGGGCGTATTTTATACGTTGATTTCGATAAGACAGAAGGTTCAGGCATGGAGGTATGGTTCAGGTAAGTGGGCTGTAGTTAAAACACCGATCGATCATACTTCTTGTCCTTCATAGTTTAACGACATCACGTTCATATGCACTCAATCGAGAAAGAGCCGTTCTCCGTCCTCTATAGCACTGTTTAGTAAGAGTAAAGCGATCCTTTGGTTACACTGCAGTGATATGAATCAATTTACAAGTTATGATATTTTTACAGTTCCCAAGAGGGGCATTTCCTGTAGAACGTTCCTGTAGTATAGCCCTATTTAAAGTAGGCACCAGATCAAGCAAACCAGTGTTCCCAACTATCGCTCTGATTGGAGCACTTTCGATTGGGAAAATGCTTTAGCGTCTGCTTATAAACAAACCGGAATAAATAAACGTCTTATGTCAGCCAACAGCACAGTCGGTGTGTTTGTATAATAAGACAACTGAGGCAGTGAATATGTCAATGTTTAATTGACTGGGGCGAAAGCTTGTGAAATAAGATTCATCGTTAGTCAAAAAAGTGCTACCTATTCATTTTTTTAAATTTAGTTAATTTTTACTGTGATTGATGATCAACCAGTACATCACGCCCCACCAACAATATCACCTATTGGACTTCTTCAATATTCTACAGTAGAAGAAAAAAATATTCCACATTTATAAATAGGCACATATATGCCACAGCATAACTTTTAGATACATGTGATATAATAGGGTAATAAAATCTTTTAAATAGAAGAAGCAAAAGTGTGTGCATTTTTACTTTTCTTCAATGCCATACTTACACAAAATAAATAATCAAATATTTAATGTAGTCACAGGCCTATATGGGACGACAAATTTAATAACTTTTTCCTAAATGTATATACGAGCACATTGACAACTTGTTTGCCTTATAGGCCTACATTATTTTATATAAAATTATACGGTAAGTAAAATCGCAATGGAACTGATTTAAAATAGTAAAGGAAGTTTTGTCGGCCGTTGGTTTCGATTATTAACTTCAATATAAACCAGCTCGATATTAGATTTACACATAAATGATATATGTGCCAATTAACAGCAGCAGATGCTCAATTAGAGGCTACAGTCTATCAATTAGCTTCGGAGTTTAGGCGTTCCATAAATAATTGGCAACATTATCTTCCTACCGAAGAACAGTTAGGTTGTTTATTTTACACGGAAATACGTTTATTCACAGGGGCGGATCGAGAGATGTCCGAAAGGGGGTGCCGAAATTGGGGTCGATTGAGATAGCACCATCCTAGGGTCCATGACTGTGTTTTCTAGACGCCCGTAAATAACTTTTTTGGGTGATCAAATTTTTCCTTTTTCTTTCTTTTTCTTTTTTTTTTTCCTTTTCTTTTTTTTTTCCTTTTCTTTTTACTTTCCAAAAAAAAAAAGGGCGGGGGGTGGGGGTGGCCGGGGCTAGGCTCCCCTATATCCGCACCTGATTCAATAATATTTATCATGATAATAATATTGATAATGAAAAAAGTAAGGATGATGATAATGATGAAAATGATGATGGTGATATTTATACTTATAATAATTATAATATAATGATAATAGCCTAATAACAATATTAATAGGCCTCATGATACTATATAGGCATATATACATATGTATATATATATATATATATATATTAAATGTAAAAATAACAATACTATATTATCGATATCATCGTCGTCAACGTCGTCATCATTGTCGTCATCCTCCTCAACATTATCTTTATTGTTAATATTGTTATTTTTATTATTATTATTATTATTAATTTGGATCTCGCAACAAACATATTTATTAATTAAAAGAATAACTCATAATATCTGATCGATGACAGATAATCAGCCTTATAATTGCATAGCTCCATACTTCTAACGTCATACGGTAATCTAACTTGACCTACAAATCAGTAGCAATAATTAAAGCATTTGACGTTTTGAATCGCATTTAACACCAGTGAGACGAGCGTAATGAAAACACACCTCCCTATTATTAAACACAGTCCTAACTAGACAAACAAAAAGAAATCCCCATGAATCGGTAAAGATAGTACCAGTACAAATTCATTTCGAAGACATATAGCGACAAAAGGGTACAGGGGCAAATGTCATGTTATTTAACAGGTCAGATAATATAAAAAAAGTGTAATAGCTTAATAAATTAAGCTGCAGATCTCATAAAGCTATTATCCTGTAATTTAGTTGTGCTCATGTTTAAGGCATTGTCGATATTGTGTAAATTTCAACTCATACCATGTTTGTTTATATATATATATATATATATATATATATAT